GTGAGGGAGATAGAGAAAGCAAGCTGTGAGGTCTGTGACTTGAATCACGGTCTGCGCTGTGGGAGTCTAGCACCTTAACCACCACACCATCTCCCAGCCCCATACTATCTTATTTTAGCACTGTTGATTGTTCATTTCCAACAACATGAAGTCTTCTTTCAAAATTCTGCTTACCCTTTAAGCCTCATTTTAGATACCCCCATTATGCCTTTCAAAATACCGCAGGAGAGAAGCAAGTCACCCCTTTTACTGTATTGTCTCATACTTATATTTCTATTATATACTTATCAACAGTCTGTCTGATAGTAGACTTAGTCCTATAGTTGCTCCACATTTTCCCTTAGAAAATAATTATTTTTACTGGTGTCGGCAGGTGGCATGGTGGTTAAGGCACTGGACTCCCACATGGCTGATCACGATTTGAGTCCTGGACCTGGCGGCTTACTTTCTTACTCTCCCCTTCTTCACTCTGTCTTTTGCTGGTCATATTAAAACCTAATAATAATAATAAATAAGTAAATTTAAATAAATGATTCTTTAAAAAAATGAACATAATTACTTACTGGGCAGGCCCCATGGCCTAGTGGTTAAGGGAGCCAGTTCCCTCATGGCTGACCATGTAGTTTGAAACCTGGTCCTGGTGGCAGAGCATGTGCATGTGTATGCCACAAAGCCTGATAGGATGGTGAAATCGAGAAGGAATTGAGATATGATCACACCTCATTGGAGGGGTGCTTTCTCCCTCTCTCTCTCTGTCTCTGGCAAGTCCACATGCCCTCTGCCCCCCCCAAAAAAATACACACACACACACACACACACAGTTACTTAATGACAGAGCCAACACCCTATAGCTATCAATGGTAAGCACAAAGTGGGTGTTCAGTAAATGCTGAAAAAAATGGGTTTATGATCTCATTTTATAGTTTATCATTTTCTGTTCATATTCCAGTCTCACACAGCCATCTTCATAAATCAAAATAAGTTCATTTATTTTTTAAATGTGGTAACCTAATAGGCTAGTGCATTTAGGCTGTTCTAGATCAAATAAAATAATTTCTAGAATTTAAGAAATTACCAGGCCAGAAGGTGATGTGGTGGGTAAGGTGCTGGATCCCACATGGCTGACTTCATGGTTTCGGTCCTGGACTTGGTGGCTTGAAAAACGTGCTGGGTACATATGCGCATATGTCCAGAATTCTGAGAGGAGAATGGAGAAGAAGGTATTTCTGGATAGAGACTATAGAAATGTGATGCTCATCAGTAAACATTTATGAACCCTCTTAGAATTGAATGTTTCTACATATAATTACCATTTTGTCTAAGTGTTCACTGCAATTTTAGAGCATTATCTCATCCCAATCTTAATTTCTCCAAATTGAGAATTTACTCTATGTGAAGCTTGCCCTAGCTACATAAGATGATTTTAGTGTTCATAAATGTATTATTTTTTGCATAATTTCTAAACAAATCTAAATATCTGTAGTATGGAAAAGTCTCCAGTCTATTGGAATAACTGTAGGTGTCTTAACTAGAAATTTGTATTTGATTAATGAAGTATATTAGCGAAAAACAGGCAGCACTTCACTTGAATCCTGGCTCCACCACTTACCACATGGTTTTCCTCATTTTTGTAAAATGTCTAAATTTCAAGATATTTGCCATTAAGATTCTTTTCTTGATTTCTTACATTTTCACGGACTACTTTTTATTCAGTTAAACATGAATTCTGCTCCAACTTTCATCAACTTTCCTGCAAAAGGGAAACCCAAACGGGGTGATACATACGAGTTGCAGGTGCGAGGTTTCTCAGCTGAGCAGATTGCCCGGTGGATTGCAGACAGAACTGATGTCAATGTAAGTTTCCCTACTTTATAAAAACTAACTTTGCCATTATCCCCTTTGAATCTTCATAAATAGCATTTAACAGAATAATCTTCATGGAAAAAAAAAAAGAATCATCTTCATGAAAGCTTGAAATTACAGAACACTTTGTATGACCCTATTGAATTCAGCAAGGATACCACTTTATTGACCTTCATAAATTCATGGGCTATCTAACTGTACTTGACAAATCTCTCTTAACCTAAAAGATGTTATATTATGGTTAAACAGAATACTATACCTATTGCATTCCATTTTAGGATACAGTATAGACTATTTTGAATGAGATGAAATTAAAAAGTATCATTTTTCCTGAAAGTAACCACATTAATTTTTATTACTTTCATTTCAAATTATTTTGACCTATATAATTAGTAAATAAATTTTATATTTATTTAAACATTTCTTTTCTCCTTTCCATTAGATTAGAGTAATTAGACCCCCAAATTATGCTGGTCCCCTTATGTTGGGATTGCTTTTGGCTGTTACTGGTGGACTTGTATATCTTCGAAGAAGCAATATGGAATTTCTCTTTAATAAAACTGGATGGGCTTTTGCAGCTTTGGTGAGTGGAATTTTAGAGGAAAAAATACTTGAGTTAGACTTAATGTATTTTAGGTAAACTTGCTTATATGAGAAGTAGCATTTTATTTCTTACATTGGAGAAAAGATTTTATATATTTTTATTTTATGCCTTAAAATCAGTTTGTTTCCTTCATTGTCTCATGAGGATGGCCAGAGCTTCAAGGATCTGATTGTACCTGCTTTTTATTCAACCTAAACAATAAAATATCATTTCTTTTTTTTTTTGGAGAGGCTTTTGCTATAGGGTGCGTGTGCTCGCCAGACAGACAGAGAGAGACAGAGAGACAGAAAGCGAGAAATCACTCCCCAGGGGGGATGGTCACGCCGCAATCCCTTCTCCTCCATTCTCCTCTCGGGATCTTGGGCACGCACACACACGCGCCCGGCGTGAGTTTTAAGCCACCAGGTCCAGGACGCAAACCGTGGTTGACTACGTGGGAGCCCAGCGACATAGCCATTACGTTAACTGCTGGTTCCCAATAAAATATCATTTCTATAAAAATCTGCAGTGTTTGTGAAAATATTGTTTTTAAAAAGCTTTTCAGTATTTTGTTTTGAAATTTGTGTACACTTAGTTATAATTTAAAAATAGTATTTTCCTGGGACCAGCAGATGGTGTAATGGATACGTTGCTGGACTCACATGTAGTCGATTGTGGTTCAAGTCCTGGAACCAGTGGCTTAAAACTCACACTGGGCATGTGTGCATGTGTGCTCAAAATCCCAAGAAGAGACTGGAGGAAAGGGGATTTCAGTGTGACCGTCCCACCTGGGGGATGATTTCTTGCTTGCTTTCTCTCCAGTGAGCACATGCACCCTATAGCACAAAGTCTCTCAAAAAATAGTATTTTCCTTTTGGAGTAAATATTGTTGAATTGTGAACCTCATTATAAAATATATAGATAAATTTTATATTTATTTAAACATTTTTTTTTGGAGTAAATATTAATAAATAAATCAATTATCTGAGAAACAATTCATGACCAGATCAGTTTTTTATATACCTATTAATCTAGTCAAGGTGGGAAATGGCTGAGCCATGAGTATTTCATCACTTTTTATTTCCTAGTGTTTTGTGCTTGCTATGACATCTGGTCAAATGTGGAACCATATAAGAGGACCCCCATATGCTCATAAGAATCCTCACACAGGACATGTGGTAAGGAAAGTCTGGAATTTCTTTCTATTGTATACCAAAATTAACTTAATGATTAGTACCCTGTGAGACCAGTGCCAGCATATGAAGGAACTAGATTTATTTTTCACTTTTCAATCTTTTTGTGTTCACAAGCTTCAGTTGGTAGTAAAACCACACAGTGCTCCTAAAAATGGAAGGTTCCTTATCACATTTGGTGAGTCCCTTTGTGTAAGCTGATTAAGAATGAAAGTCAGATACTTACCTGGCAGGGGAGAAACCATGACCATGAAGGTGATTTTCCCAGGGTGAGACTTACCTATGGCACTCCAGATATGCTGAGCCCTGTGATTTCCCCAAATGTGGGAAATTCGACTGCATAATTTGTGGTAGTGGGGGACTGCGTTTGCACTCTCCCCTGTTAAAATTTAAAATTAAAAAAAAAATGAAAGTCAGCCTTCAGGTATAACAGAATTGATCAAGTACTTGCTCATCAAATGTTTCTTTTTTTCATTTTTAAATTTCATTTTCTTTTATACATTCAATCACATTATTTAACTTACAAAGTGAATATTTCAACAGGTGAACATTTCTATTTCAGTTGATAAAACTATAAAATATCTTCAACAAATAATACCACATTTCTTTGTCCCATTAATGCTTTGCCTCCCTGTTTTTCTTCTAAATGTCCTTCCTCAGACCCTACTCTTTCACACACACTCTATCTGGTATTTCCATCCATATACTGTATTTCTACATCTGTTAGTCAATCAGTTTCAGTCATAGAATGTGGACACTCGGTATATATTAAGTGGGGACATACAATGTCTCTCCTTCATAGCCTGGCTTGCCTCACTTGGCAGTAAATCTTCCATATTCTTCCACTCTCTGTAAAAAGTCAGAGGGGTTTTTTTTTATGGCTGAATAGTATTCCATAGAGTATATGTGCCACAGTTTTTTCTATCCATTCATCTGTTCGTGGGCATTTGAGTTGGTTCCATGACTTAGCGATTGTGAATAGTGCCGCAAAAAACATCAATGTGCAAGCACTTTTCCAATTAAGTATTCTTGTATCCTTTGGGTAGATACCAAGGAGTGGGATTGCTAGATCATATGGTGGTTCTATTTGTAGATTTTTGAGGAATCTCCAAATTGTTCTTCACAGTAGCTGGACCAATTTATATTCCCACCAGCAGTGTAAGAGAGTTCCCCTTTCAGCACACCCCTGCCAGCACTTTTTG